TTTTTCAAATAAATAAATCTTGCGAAATTAAAAACGTTGGTGATATAACAGATAATAGTTCAATTCAGACACGATTTAATCTTAAAATTTAATCGATATTTTTACATGATACATTTTATGCATTTGACTCTAGGCTAAATGATCCCACACTACGTTTTTATTTTAGGCTTATTATACCAACACTCACTACGTTTATAAGGTTTTACGACCCACTTGCACCCCCGTCACTAAAATCGTAACGAGCAGGCAGTAATCGAACTATTCTATCTGGATAAATGAATTTTAGCTTTTATGACTCCTCCTATTTCGTGAAATAAGAGAAATCAAACGTGACAGACACTGGCTTTTATATAGGTTAGATACTATACATTGTACAGTGTTATGAAATTTCTTTTACTCACACAGTAATTACATATTTCTCCAGGGTTATTGATGAGTGGTGAACTTTATCAAAACTGGCATAACTCAGAGACAAGTGGTAAAAAAATAATAGATTGGCTCCACATTCATTTTTTAGTAAATTAAAAATATTTTCTGGTTGAATTATTCACGAGAATAAATTTGTAACATGTGTGATATAGATTATTGAAATTCGTATATAAATATAGCATCACTGTTTGAGTATAAAACATTTGGAAAATAATTTCTATACTCGAAATTAAACAACAACAAAAAAAAATCAGATATCCCAATGTAAACCGGCTATTTTCTACGACATCCATACAGAAACATTTACATTTGAACTTCAGATGTAAAGACAAAGATTGCAATAAGTAGCCCTTACACTTCTGAAAGGACTAACGCATACTTCCGGCTTTAAAACATCCCATGAATACAGATTTGATAAACTACATGAAAATTTAGAAAAATATTAATGTGATATACCTGAATAAAAATATAATCTATACTAGATCTATTGATAATCCATCTAGCTATGGAAGGCTGAATTCAAGATTATTTCAATCATTACACTCTTTTATCATTCACAACATAAAGGCCTGGCATGGCCAGGTGGTTAGGGCTCTCGACTTGCAATCTGCGGGTCGCGAGTTTGAATCCATGTTCCACCAAACATACTCGCCCTTTCAGTCGTGGGGGCGTTATGCGACGGTCAATCCCACTATATATTGGTAAAAGAGTGGCCCAAGAGTTGGCGGTGGGTGGTGATGACTAGCTGCATTCCCTCTAGTCTTACACTGCTAAATTAGGAACGGCTAGCGCAGATAGCCCTCGTGTAGCTGTGTGTAGCTTTGCGCGAAATTTAAAACAAACACACAAACACAACATAAAACATGGATACTAATCCCTTGTTTTCACGGTGCTGGTACTTCATTTGTACTATTTTACTTCAAAACATGACACAGGGGTACAAATCCTTTTTGTCGCAGCTTATTGCCTCTTTCTCCATCTATCATTACTAACATAAGAAATGTTGATATTTTCATCTTCTTTGATTACAGGTACTTCATTCTCCTTTTAATGTTTGTAATCAGTCAGGCCTCATTAGTGAAACATTACTAAGGTAACATTTTTACCATGAGCTCTCAAACCTTATCATGAATCTAGGATAACGTTTTAACTATAACACTTAGCGTACCGTCAATATTTGTGCTGCCATTGATTTTTCCAGGCTTAAATTAAGTGAGAAATGTGGGGACCGAAAATGAGTTTTTTTTTGGTACTTTTATTTTTATTTATACATCAATTTACATTACGGGGTGTTCAAAACAATAACTCAGAGTCTAAAGTGAGGACAAAATATCTTATTATAATTTTAAAACTGTATTGTTATATTTTTTATATGGTACTCGGTAGCAATGACAATGGTCTTAGGAGCTCTCAGTTCATCATTGGTTACTGTTAATGTTAGGCCTAGAGTGCATACTCGTTTGTTTGTTTTTGTTGTTAAGCACAAAGCTACACAAAAGGCTATCTGTGCTCTGCCCACCAAGGGTATAGAAACCCGGTTTCTAGAAGTATAAGTCCGCATAGTGCATACGTTTGGGTTTGCATACTATGCAATTAATTTGAACCATTTATTTTCAATATTAAGTATAATGTAAATACATAAATAGCAACAATGTATTATAATTGTCTTGTTCAACTTTTGTTTTCATAAAATTTTTCTGCCATATTGATCATGCTTTTCCTTTAATAAAACCATGAGTCAGAGAGAGTGTTCTATCTTCGAACAAAAGTGTTATCTGTATTAGTGAACACAAAAGGTCAAAACGTTTCTAAACTTAACGTTCTGCCCTGTATATTTCTTAAAACCAAAGTTATTAAAGCCATTCAATGGTGTTGAATATCAAACAAGTGACTCATGTCAAGAGTAGGCTGAAAGAGACCAAGCAAATATATATATTAAATATAGTTAGTAAGAAACAAGCTCTAGACAAAGAGGTAACAATACTAATTGATATTTACATAGATCCTTTAAACTACCTGAAGTTTATAATGTATGTATGGTAGCATATTGTGCTATGATGAAACGTGAGTTTTATTATAAGAACAATCAATTGCATAATTCATGTTACCGAAATATTGTATCAAAATATTTAAAATAATCACTTGATTTATGATTAAAGGTACTTTTACGAGTATGTTCATTTGTCCACTTGTAAAACTAATAAGTTTAAATGAAGTTTTGAAAGATACGGAAATGGAATTTCTGGGTTGTAAAAACGATAGCGTTACTTGGTTTAGGCAAAGAGAAGGTTAAACTTTCTAATCTTGTCATCAGTAATACGTGACGACCTTTGTATATCCTAACATGTTATTGTACTATATATAATAGCATGTTGTTGTCTCATCTTCACTAACATGTTATTATACTATCTATAATAGCGTGTTGTTGTCTCATCTCCATTAACATGTTATTATACTATCTATAATAGCATGTTGCTGTCTCATCTCCACTAACATGTTATTATACTATCTATAATAGCATGTTGTTGTCTCATCTCCACTAACATGTTATTATACTATCTATAATAGCATGTTGCTGTCTCATCTTCACTAACATGTTATTATACTATCTGTAATAGCATGTTGTTGTCTCATCTTCACTAACATGTTATTATACTATCTATAATAGCATGTTGTTGTCTCATCTTCACTAACATGTTATTATACTATCTATAATAGCATGTTGTTGTCTCATCTTCACTGACATATTATTATAATATCTATAATAGCATGTTGTTGTCTCATCTTCACTAACATATTATTATAATATCTATAATAGCATGTTGTTGTCTCATCTTCACTAACATATTATTATACTATCTATAATAGCATGTTGTTGTTTCATCTCCACTATATGTATATACACACATTTGAACCATTGCAGTGGAAGGATATTTGTACAACTACATTATTAAGCTATATATACCTAAAGGAAACGTTATTTTGATGTTCTCAATAGAAACAGAAATCATCACACAACTTAAAGGTTAAGAAAGAAACGAGCTCCAAAATGACATCCATTGGCCATCCTGAAGTGAAGGGAGCTGTTACAAAAGATGATCCTGAGACACAAAACCTCATTGTGATAAAGCTGAACATATCTTGTGACAGTGCTAAGAAGATAATAGGTGAGGATTTCAAGTAGACAAGATTACAATGTGAAAGGTCAGAAGTTTCAAATCTCATCTTGTGATCAACACATTTTCACGAGAAATCTGGCCAAAGAAATATGAATCAAACAAGAATCAAATCAACCCCTCCGCCATACATAATAATTGTCACCCTAACGAGACTACATGAAACAACAGAGGGTAAAGATTGTCAATTGGAGTTCCCCTTGTCAACAGGAGAGAAGCAGATATTGAAATATAGTGAATGGGGACTTTGAGGAAGACGAGAGCTTTTCCACAAGGAAATATATACTGTTGGATTACTATGGA